TTTGACCAGGTCAATTTACCCTTGAAAACCCTCCAAAACCCAAACTGCTTGCAGCAACACAGAGTATGAGCTCGAGATCAAGACCCAGCTCGACAGCGGGCTGATTAGCGAGAGTGCCAAATTTTCCTTCAGAACTCCGCAAGGTTTGTGTCGATTCCAAGCGATTACCAAGTCAAAACCTATCCAAAAGCGTTCAGAACAAAAGCTCAAAAGACAGAGCAGAAAATTGCGCTCAATAGCCCGAGGAATACGGTAGGGGGAGCGCGAAAAGATGTGCATAGGGAATGCGTCCGAAATGGTATTAGGGAAATTGGTTGTGCTGTGACGGAAGCGAGATTCTTAGCGTGAAGACACGACTGAAACCCGAAAAAAAGGAAATTATCGGTGAGTGGCGTATTGAAAAGTTTTGGGGATGACGTGAGGAGTTGGTGGGGAAATCATTCGGATCAGTGAGGGGTGAAAACACGTAGTTTCTATTTTGGACCGAGTTTTAACGGCGGTCGAATTATTTAGAAACGCCTGGATTGTTATGTTTTAGAAAATACCAATCTAGTAATGTATACTATACTAATTTTTAACAAAAACTTAAAAAACATCGAAATGTTTGATGTGCCTTTTTATACCTAACTACATTGTAAAATCCTAGAAAATGGTCTTGATTTCGTTGTAGGTTCGCACGCACGCAAATTATTGGAGAAAAATTGGCTTACCCGGCAAGCTCAACTCTAAGCCTAGGGTAAGCCTAAACGTAAGCCTATGCCTATGCCTAAGTCTATGCCTAAGCCCACGCCTAAGCCTAATCCTAAGCCAACGCCTAAGCCGAAGCCAAAGTCCACGCTTAAGCCTAAGCCTATGCCTATCCCTAAGCCTGAGCGTACCTAAGCCTAATCCTAAGCCTAAGTCTACGTCGAAATTCGAGCTCTCAAACGTTTAGCAGTTTGTAAAGGAGATCCGGGTTACGGTAGCGAGAAATGACGTTCAGCGCGATCTACAACCACGGCTAACAAATTGAACCGGCTTTTTGACCTTGAAGAATCAAAATTGACCACACCACGGGGATGCGCTTCAAAAGCTTCTTCCCCAGTCTGCCCATTTGATTAGTCAAATTCCCGGGAGTGGGGTGGCATTCTAGGTGGGGAAGGCAAAAACAGTCGAGGAGGGAGAGAACGCCATTAGGGACCCTACGCGCGGCCCGGGAAGTCGCGCTGCCGCGCAAAAAGCGCATATCCCCGCGGGGGGCGGATGGCTCGAAAAACTTGCGCGTTAATTGCGCATGGCCGCCGCAGCACAACACAATCGAGGCGATGGCGCTCGTTCGCCGGAAGTATTCTTCGACGACGTGCTAGGGGAAGTTATTTTTGCAAAATCTGGATCGAGAGTTGAGCTGGAGGGATGGATTTTTTTAGTCATCAACGGGAGAAAAGCAATAGCTCGTTTTTAAGGTGCAAGAAAGTTCGAAAAGTCCAGTTTTTTTAATTAAAGCTTTAAGCTGACGAACTATGTAGCCGAAAAATTCAGGGTTCTTTCGAATTATCGGGGGGCGCTGGGGCACATTTTTGTATGACTCAAGAAATGCCTAGTAATTTAATAGGAAGTATTTTCTTAATATTGTTCATAAAATAAAACCATATTTTACCTAGAAAAACTTTTTTCTAACTTTTACCGATTCAAAAACGGTCATTCTTGGTCGAAAAATGGATATTTTTGTAATTATTCATAAAAATTTGCGAAGTTTTACTTTTGGGGATAGTAAAATACAGTTTAGAAAAACTTCCTTTAAAAAAATACCCCCCCCCCCCCGGCCCCGGATAATGCCAGGAGCCAAGAAAACTAAAGGGTGCGAAAACCGCAAACTGGCGATCTTTTAGCGTGAAAAAAGTCTATTTTTCACTTTTTAAGCTTTGAGTCGGAGCCAGAAAACTATGAGGATGTGAAATTTCGGACCTCCCAGGTTCCCAGATAGCCGCCGCTTTTTCACACTCGGTCGCAACGGCTCCTTGAGAGCCTCCGTCAATATTGGCAAAACTGTTCCGGCCCATATCCTGACAAGTTGTTCAGAGTACAGGAACGTACTAAGTTAAAGCTCAGATTTTAAAGAAAAATACGTTAAAATCGAATATCAGCTTCAAGAATTCTCTCAAATTTTTAGTAGACTACAACCCGATCGACAAAGTCGACATCCTGTCCTCGCATGACGTCAACAGCATCCAGATTCAGTGGCTGTTGAAAAGGTAATCCTATTAAACGACTATACTAATTTATATAACTTTTTATTACAATTTCTAGCTAATTATAGTCATTTTTATACATAATCTGTTCATACTTTAGTGAAATCGACAAGTCTCAAGTTGTCGGCTACGATGTGTACCTGAATGAGGATCAGGTACGTAATTGATAGCTAATGCGTAGAGTTTCTAGGAAAATCTCAGAACAACTAAACCGACAATCAAACTATAGTTTTCGGCAAAACGGTGGGAACCAGAACTTCTAGCTGGACGTTCAAACCCCAAAAATCTTGAATTCGATTTGGTCACGCTATATTTCGCGGAAAACAAAGAAAATAATTAGCTTAACCGGAAGCTCAAAATGCACTAATGTTTTAGAATAATTTGAAAATTTAGGACGCTCCAACGCACACCTGGCGTCGGCTGTACGTCGAGAATGTTGAAGGGAACCTGGCTATTCCAGGTAATGGTTTGTATTAATTGGCAGCAAGGAAATATCAATTTAGGACTACAATCTACAACGAGCTACTACGTGAAAATCGACGTTAGGATGAGGGACGGAAGGGTTGTAAAATCACCTACCACTTACAAATTCACGACCGTCGGTGAGTGAGGAGAAGTGGCAACATGTAGACGAATTGGTGGCGCACCTTAAATTATATTAATTAAATATAGCATGAAAAGGCAAAAAGGATACATTGGATAATGAAAAAAGCCAATTTTGTCTGACTTAGAAAACTTAAAAGCTGAAGAATGCGCTGGAAATTAATGCGATATGCTAAGGCATTTATGTCGAAAAGCTTATTTTAAAGGAACAGGAAGCAAGCTATTTTCTTAATTATACGGTAAATTATACCACATAGCCGTAACCCTTAAAAAGCTCTTCAAAAATATAAGATACATATAAACTATAACTTTTAGATTGGCGACACTTGTCACACCGACCCTACCCACGCACGAACCCGTTCTTGCACTGAACTTTGCTGCACATATCCACCCCCCGTTCTTCATCTTTCCCATCCCGTTCGGGTCCCTAAATAAAGATGTCACTCATCCCCACCAGCACTTGTCAGTTTTCTAAAAAATGCCCGAAAAACAGGAAGCGATCAAAGAGGGGATGCTGATGCTAACATGCTGTCATATATGAATGTTGCGCCGGGAGAAGTGATACTGTCGTGGACCTTCCCGGAATATCTACGTCATCTGGTTACAGGTAAGAGCAACGGGACTGTAAAATGTTACTGGGTTACTTTTCAAAGTTAAGTTCAATATAATAGCGAAAATATAGGTGAAAACCTGTTAATAGGCTCGCTTCTCCTCTACACTCATCATAAAGAGGCTCCCATTGATCAGTGGAAGCGTGTCGATATCGACGGGACTGCAGTGGTGAATTTATAATCGACACTGAGCCTAAAAATAAATTTCAGAAGAGCTACCATTTGCGACAACTGCACATGGGCGAGACGTACTACGTCCAAATCGCTCCAAAGCTACACGACGGCCGTTACGCTACACAGTACGCCGAGAATCTGGAGATGGTCGTTGATGCCGGTATCACAGAAAGATTACTTCTCCTGGAGCCTCTAAAATTTAGTGGTGATGCGCCGCGGAAACGAGCAACCGAGAGACCCGCTTGATCTCAGCAACCCTGCACTTCCGCCTCGCCGAAGAGCACGACATTTTTGAAGACATGCCAAAATTCTATCGCCATTATCCAAACGTTTGTACACGAATGAATATATTTATTTGGGATATATGTACACGCTAGGCAAACTGGAAACTTGCAAAATAATCATAGCTTGAATGGGTTCTTCTGTGGCTCCGCCTTCCAGGTAGATGTTGAGGACGGCCCGTTGAGGCAAAGGTCGTCGATGGCCTTCTGGAGATCGTGGTGCGTGGCCGGCTTCTTCGTCATGTTCATTGATTTCTGAAAATTAACATTATATTGTTTTCATGATTTAATCATCTCGAGGATTTTAGTCTCGCCGATTTTAGCTCATGCTTGCCAATTTCATTTTGATCAATTTTCGACAAATTTTTTACCTAAACACCTTTTCGAAAAGACTAGTATGGAAGACCGACAGAAGATCAGATTGAGTGGTGGGGATGCTAACTAGCTGAATTTTGCTCTACTGTACATGATTTTTGTACTTAAATTACTAAAAAGCCTTGTAGAATGCGAACAATCGGCGAAATAAACGGTTATCTTTTGCATTTCTGTATTTACCTCTCCAAAGCTGCGCCCATTCTTGCCCTTTCCGGCCAGCGACTTTCTCCGAAGTTGAAAGCCGGACATCCTTCGCCCTTCGTGTTCTTCGGGCATCATTACCAGCAGCCCGAGCGCCTCGTCCCCGGGGACAAAGTGTTCCTCGCCCGAGTTCTAGACGGTGCATTATCATAAACAAAAAGTGCGCGCTACCTCTTTTTCGTCAGCAAACTCCTTCAACGGATCGGAGCTATCCCGCAGCCCAGAAGTGTCCTAAATGCCTTTTTACGATGAGTAAACCAAAGCGTACCAGGTGCTTTGAAGTATGCGAGCGATGGTGGAAAAATGGTCTTGTCTCGGGCAAATTTGTCGCATGAAGCTGCACTCTCATGTTGTCGGGTTGGAGACTTGTTGCAGTTGGGAAAGTGGGCGTCTTCGATTCGAGTGCTACATCCGGCACTTTGTTGGCATCTTTCTGCGTTTGCTTCGAAATCTCGATCCTCTGCGGAATCGACGCGACGCCTTTGCTCGTCTTCGGCGTAAAGTAGGGAGTGTGTTTCGGCGTCCCTTTCGGAGTTTTCAACTCGCTGAAACAAACATTTGATGAAAGGCTTCTACTTCAACAGCAAAAGACAACTATAAAAAACTTACTTGGCCGGCGGCGGCGTGGACAGCGATTTTCGAACAGATGCGGTGATGTGCGAGCTGCTCCTAGGCCAAATTTTGACAAAATGCAAAAAAGCGTACCTCGTCCTCTCGGTTTGTGGCTTCTTCTCCGAAGGCGGAGCCAGATTCTTCAAAATACTATAAAGAAAATGTATTTAACGTATTTCGTTGCAGCAACGCACGGTGATGGCGCTAGTAGGCGGGCAGCGATCTTCTCAATCAGCTTTGCGGGTTGCGCGGCATTTTTTCGGGCAAGACCCAAGACATCCTAAAACAGAGATAAAATAATTTTTCAACTCCTAGCCTGCGCGTCTTTTCGCTTGCTATCCTCGAGTAGATGCCCAATCCAAAGTTCGTAGAAAATTGCGGCTTTGCGGAAGCGACCCTAAAAAGAATGATAGTTATTTTGAAGCCAAACACACATTGTCATACAGCGTCCTCATCACCTGATCGACACTCATACTCCTCGAGTATCGACCCTAAAAGAAAAGAAATCAGCCGATATCCAAAGCAAATTACCATCAAATAGTACGCAAACGCGAGCTTCGGATCCTCCTTGAATTTCGGGTTGTTGCCATACATTGTGATGAAGCTGCTCGCTGTCCGCTTCATGACTTCCGGACATTTTTCGCCAAAAAATTGATCGTGCAGGGCCAGTAGTCTAAAAAAACTGTTATAAAGTGCTAAAATTCACATACTCGGAAAAATAGTGAAAATGCTCTTCGCTGGGCCCGGATTCTACGCGCTTGGAGCAATCGCTAAACAGAAAAAAAGCTTTATAGGAATATGTTCATGCAAACCTGATAAATACGGCGAATCCAGAGCTCGACATCAATCAGAAATAGTTTAGAAGATGAAAATAAAAGTTTTATTGCGTGTTTTTGGTCGTTGATGATTTTTAAAAGGTCGCTTTTGGCGGTAAACGCTGGATCAGGACTACGGTGCCAGGACGCGCTTTAGGAAGCAAGTGACTCAGTTAGGCGGATTCACAGCTGTTTTTGCAGTAAAACAACGTTTAAACGTTGTTTTAAAATTATTAATGAAAAATTTTAAAATTATTAAAATTATTATTATTTTTGCAGTAAAAAACGTTGTTTTAAAATTTAAAATTAATGTTTATCGTTAAACGTTTTGCAAAATTCAATATATTCAAAATGGTTGGATATATTTTTGGTTCTTTCGCATTATCGGGGGGGGGAGGGGGGGGGGAAGAAATTTTTTTCATAGGAATGAATTTTTTAAAGATAAATAGCGGAAGTATTTCTAAATTGTTTTTAACATCCCTAAACGTAAAACTTTACAAAAAATATCGATATTTCGACCAAAAATAACCGTTTTCTTGATAAAATTTCGTTTTTGAAAAATGTTGAAAGTTTTTAGATAGTTTTCGAGTTAAAATATAGTTTTATTTTACTAAAAACATTATGAAAATATTTATTTTGTATTAATAGTTATATTAATAGGCACTTCCAGATTAATAAAAAAATTTTCCCGCCGATAAAAGTGCCATTAATAATTCCAACGCCGAGCAATCGAATCTTTATTTCGCAGAAAGCGCTAGCGCGTCATTTTGAAAGGTCATGAGGGTTTTGTGATAAACTGGGCCACGAATGTGCCGATGTGCTGCCGGGCGGCGGCCAGCTGCTCGCCGTGCAGGTCGTATTTCCGGTAGAATGCCATGCCCATCAAATCGTGGTACCGGGGGCGATGGTCTTTGTCTTTGATGAGGCTGAAAATGAGGTGGTAATACGAAAAATACTTCCCAATCTTGAATTTTTTTATGGTTTTAAATAGGTCTCAAACGAGAAATTACTCACCAAGAATTGCAAAATTGAACTAATTCGATAGAAAAATTCTCTGGGGTGTTGACGAGCAGCATCGGCACGTCGCCGTGGACAACTTGTTCAACCTGAAATGGTTGTTGAGCTTCTTATTTTTCATTTTGCTTTTTTCCCTCGTCTAATTTTAGGTATAATATGCTTTTTCTTTCTTTTAGTGCCCGTTAAGGGTAAATGGTATTCTTTTTAACGCTCTACCAACCTGCTCGAAGATGGTGTTCCAGCTGGAGTAGGGGAATTTGCCCATGGCGACTTCATGGAGGGTGATGCCGAGGCTCCACACGTCAGATTGGACGCCGTACGGGGCAGGGGTGGGGCTCAGGCGTTCCGGCTACAAAAATTTACGTCAATATTTTTGTTTTTACGATATTTGTAAATCTACTGTAACCTACCGCCATATAGGGTTTACAGCCGACTTCCTGCGTCTTGGCAATCGAGTCGACCAGCTCGCCGGCAATGCCGAAATCGCAAAGCTTGATCATCCCCCGCTGGTCCAGCAAAATATTGGAGGGCTTTACATCTAAACAAAAGGATAATTAGCTGTAAGGGTAAACTAAAAAGTAAGTAAAAACTAATCTGAACTCCTCCTTCCTACATTTTCGGTTTTTGTATAATTTTTAAACTGGCTTACCTCTATGAATCATCCGCAACGAAGTCCGTAAGTAGCTGAGCGCCGAAATAGTCTAGAAAATCTTATCAACCCGTTCTTAAATATCAACTTACCGCAACCGCAATATAACCCAGCATATCTTCCGGCAGCCGGAACCCGTTTTTATAGACATTTTTATACAGGGTGTCCAAGGAGATGTCCAACAGCTCCATACATAGCCAACAGTCGCCCTGAAAAGTGGAATTTATTTTATGGTTCATTTAATACTCCAAATTTGTATACTTACCTCGAAGAAGACAGCTCCGAAGAAGCGGACAATATTCTCGCAGCTGTTGGCTGCCATAACAGTTTCGAGCTCTCGGAGCAATCGCCTCCGCTCTTCCGGTTGTACCGTGGTGGAGCGGATTCGCTGAAATTGTTACGTATTTTATTAAAGCTCAAAGACAGATTATTTGTCCGAAAAGAGCGCGTGTCTATAGGCGCGTTACGTCATAAAAAAAATCATTTACCGCCTCTGCGCGCAAGATGCTGATTCACTTTTTAAGCTTTGGCACTCGATTCTAACAATTATTTGGTTTAAGAACGTTTTTTTAATCATCGGCTCCACATATATAGTTTAACATACCTTAACAGCTAGCACATGACCCGAATCGCGGTGTACCATACGGTTCACTGTCCCGAAGTTGCCCCGTCCTATCTGGCCCTCGTCCTGAAAGTGGTTTTTTAAGCTTTGAGGGTGCAGTTTATTTAAATTGCTAATAGTTTTTAAGAATTCAAAATTTTGTAGCGTTCTCAAGCTGCAGCAGTAGGAGTAGCAGTAGCACCCACCTGCAGGTCATCGGCGGTGAAATCGTATTCCCGTGCCGAGTCCGGAAATTGGAGTTTACCCGTATTGAAAGACCTAAAAATAGCGTTAAAGTGGTTTTTCGTATCTTACAATTGTGAATCATTGGCGAAATGGGGAGGGCCGATGGGGAGATCAATAAAATTGAGCCCCATAGGCCGGTTGACGGCCATAGGAATCTGAAAAATGGAAATTTCTTAAGAAAAATTAACAAAAACGCGACAACTTAAAGACGAAAAGACGTAAAACGAGAAATAACAATTTTGAAAAATTAAAGAACTCAGAATGGAATCGGCAGAACAAGTCCTTTTCTCAAGGAAAGGAGGTAGAAAACTTTCAGAGTCACTCCGGATTCTATTTTGCCCCAAACGAGGCCAATTTCCCCGAGGGCGTCAATGCGTGTGGCTTCGGCTGATTATTCGGATTCGGGGCCAATCGCCCATTTTTTGCATACTACAAATCCGATAACAAGTGACTCAGTGGGTCCAAATTTGGCTCTAATCCGGCAGATTACAATACAACGAATCAGGGTCCCAGAGGATTTTTTTCTGGCCTCATGACCAAAAGATTACTAATGACTATTTCAGGCCAGGAATTGATTCTGGGGAAGGGAATCGGTGTTATCATAAAAAAATAGTTTCTTGAAACGAGGGATCAGTTTTTCGTGGAATTCTGCCAGGTGCTGGAATAAAGGACATTTCTTGCAAAAGGAAATCGATTTTCTGATCCTAATATTTTTGTAAAAAGTACTTTAATAACTTTTTAAAGACATACTATAGGAATTGGATACACATTTCTATCAAAAAGTATGTGAAGACAAAACCCCCCTGAGAAACTTATAACTCTCAAAAAGGCCTCCACGACGCCCAATTTGGATGCGCGGGGCCACTAATCAACTATGTATGAGTCAGCATGGGAATAAAGTATCCGTAGCGGCCAAATCCGGCGAATAATAAGGAGGAAGTGAGGGCCCCATCGGAGTGAGATTCCCGAGGGCCAAACGGGGCCAAAAGAGAGAAGAAGGGCACATGGCTCGTTCGATAACGGCGAGAGGGGGAAAGGGCACTGGATTAGGGAGACGGCCATCGGGGGCAGGGGGCCCCGTAGTCAGGGGGGCGCTGCGGGACCCGAGCAGGGTTGAGATGGGTGGTTATGAGAAGGGAAAATAAATACCAAGCAACTATTTCAGAAAAGAAAAGAAAATGTGGGGAGCGTTCGGAAAAAGAGCGTTTAAAGGAGCTCCGTTGTGGTCCAGGCCTTGACAACGCGTGGCTCCTATGTATACATCATATTTTTAGTGGTTACAAATAATTCCTGTAATCTCAATTTTTCGTAGATTTCAATGCGATACTACCTTTGCGATCGTTTACGCAGTCCAAATTAGATATGAAAATCGATTTTCGCCACTTTTAAAGTTAAATTTTTTAAAGTTTAAAATAAATGCTTTGTGAGAATTTTTGCGACTTTTTGCCTTTTTTATATTTTCTTCATTTACAGTACACTGGGGTGCAATACAATACTTTATTTATAAGGGTGCAATACTTTATTCATTGTCATTGCTACTAGGTACTATGTATATGGAATGCGGGTCGTGGGGGTCGCTAGAGATCAAGCGTGCGTGGCCGGGGTGATGGTGCAGATACATATAGTAGTCAAGAATATAAGTGGACATTTCAAATAAAAACATAGCCCGAAACGAAGACAGTCGAAACACCGGAGTTATCATAAACCGTGGAAATGGCAAGGCAATACTGGTTTTACCGTATGTGTAATATGCGGAGGAGTGTCTTTTAGGAAGGAACACAAGGGGAAAAGTCGAATAATAAGACGAAATGCAATAATAGTGGCAAAAAGTCCAGAAATATGACGATTAGGTTAAGAATGTGGCAATGAAGGGAAGGTTCAATTGTTTTTTAGTTTCTTGAAACTTCTTGAAATGTTAACGAGACTTTTAGGGAGCCGGAAAAGTAGAAGAAAAGTGGCTTCAGGAACTACTGTTGTTAAAAGGTATTTAAAATGTTAAGTATGGCAAATTCAGTGAATTCCGCTTCACTACGTTACTGGGAAAAAAAAAAAATCATTTGCGGCCATGTGAGCTGGCGCGACGACGCAGCATTCCGATGACACGGGCGCAAATCTCTTGGAAAGAGCGTCCTAAAATTAGAGTATATATAAAAACTAATCACTATAAATGAGGCTAGGCCTAAGCTTAGGCCTAAGCCTAACCCTAGTAACAGTCCCAAGCAGCTTTAAAAAACCTACTACGCTTCGGCACCGTCATTGTCATCGCCTGCTCGCTCTCCAACTTCTCCTGCTCCTCGATGATCTCGAGGTCATCCTCAAAGTTCTCCTTTTCCTCAGGCTTCTCGTCAATGAAAACATCATTCTCAAGATCTTCCGGAACTTCAGCACACTCTGGGAGCGACAGGCTGAAACTAGAAAGGTTTTCTTAGAATTTAACACATCAGCAGAAGCGGCTTTTCAAGCAGAAAATCAGTGATCTACCTAGCATTCCCGATGCTGATCAGCGCCATATGTTTGGCCGCCTTGCTTTGACGTAGCATTTTTCGTCGCTCGTAGACCTCGGCGCAACTGGAAATAAACAAATACTTAAGTTTCATGGGGTTTAAGATTTATTTATTTAGCTATTTTTGATTTATTTCAACTTTCACGTTTCCCAATTTTCATTTAACCCTCCAATCAGACCATCAACAGCTTCAAAATCTTATCCCAGATGTTGTGACGGCCCGTCTAATGGATGGCCACCATTCAGACGGCCCCAAAATCAGACCCGGTACATTCATTGGTCTCCTTCAAGCAAATTCACACGACCTCACGTAGCACCTCGGGCTCGAGGTGCTGTCGTAAATATTGTCCTTGGGTCGTTTGATTAGTATTCATGCCCGTAACGGTGCCCTCGAGACGATAAACAGTACGTGCGAACGGGGAGAGAGCATAGAGTTGGGTAGAAAACATGTTGTTTTTTGTGGGATCGGGGTGTACAGGGGGGCAGTCTGGAAGGTCTAGAAAGAACCAGACAAGGCGTCTAGTCCGTAAAGCCTAAGCCCAAGCCTAATTGTAAGCCTAATCCGAAGCCCAAAGCTAAGCCTAAGCCTAATCCTAGCCTACGATGATGTGTAGATTTCAGAACGTCCCTGACTCCGTCCTGATCCCGATTTACTAGCCCCAAAATTGGCATCTCCCCATGCTCACCTGGCATATTCCCCATGCCAGCGTGGATCTGAGACGAGGGCCCGTTTTTATGGACCTCTAGCGTGGAGTTGGGTTCACAAGGTGGTGATGAGTCAGAGCCAGGGGGCGGAGGAACTGTTCCGATGAGTTGGGAGCAGCTGGCGCCAAAGGGTGATCTGTGCAACATGCAAATGGGACCATCGGCACGTAGTCCATGCGATGGGGGCATGCACCCAACCGGAAATGGAACAGGGAGTTTTGGGAATGATTTCCGGTGAATGGTTTGTTGGACAGCGGTAAAGAAGGTTCTGATAGGTTCTCAGGCTTGAGCTAATGCTTTGGCTTAGGCTCAGGACCAGGCTTAAGATTAGGCTTCGGTTAGGCGTAGGCTGGAGAATAGGTTTATACACTCCATGGAAAAACTATAGAACCACCACAGAGCTTGGGTTCTAGGCGAGCCAGGGACTGGATATTTATACTGGGGGTTTCTTTTGGAACAGGAAACAACTGTGTAAAATTTGAGGCAACGAAGTTTATTAGAGGTGGTACTTCCAGGAGTTGGGTCGAGGATTTTCATGGAAAAACTATAGAACCACTTTTTTGGGCTTCGAATTTAAGACGCTTTTTGAGACTTTTTGTGGGATATTTCGATGGCAACGGGCCAGTATATAACTAAACTCTCAGTTTCAGTCGCTATTTCCGGCAGGGCTGCTCCCGGACAAGTTTTGGAAAACCCGAATTTAACAAAGAAATCCACGTTTCCTCAATAAATTGACGAAAGAAATTTTGTGCGGAAATCAGCAAATGCCATCTGAAAGAGCTTGAAACGGCGAGCATTTTGGTATACTACACCCGGCCAAAACTATAGTGACTAATGCGGCATGGAATGGTGAATGCTGGACTACCTGCCCGCGATGCATTTCCCGGCCCGTTTAACAAAGGCTCCCTGTCGCCGCACATTTAGCATTCGATAGCTCGGGCCCTAGGCAATATTATACGAGGTACAGTCTACCAAAATGCTCGCCGTTTCAAGGTCTTTCAAATGGCATTTGCTGATTTCCGCACAAAGTTCCTTTCGTCAATTTATTGAGGAAAACGTGGATTTCTTTGTTAAATTCGGGTTTTCCAAAACTTGTCCGGGAGCAGCCCTGCCGGAAATAGCGACTGAAACTGAGAGTTTAGTTATATACTGGCCCGTTGCCATCGAAATATCCCACAAAAAGTCTCAAAAAGCGTCTTAAATTCGAAGCCCAAAAAGTGGTTCTATAGTTTTTCCATGAAAATCCTCGACCCAACTCCTGGAAGTACCACCTCTAATAAACTTCGTTGCCTCAAATTTTACACAGTTGTTTCCTGTTCCAAAAGAAACCCCCAGTATAAATATCCAGTCCCTGGCTCGCCTAGAACCCAAGCTCTGTGGTGGTTCTATAGTTTTTCCATGGAGTGTATTAGACCTAGGTACTATGTGCGGAGGCTCAGCTTTACGCTTAGGCTTAGGCTTAGATTTATGCTTATGCTTGGGCTTAGGATTAGGCTTGGGCTTAGGCTTAGGCTTAGAACTCGTCCATCTCCAGACACTTCCCCCACCCCCGTTCCGGCTAGCCACCTTCAGAATCCACTCAACACTCATTCAATCCCGTCGATTCCATTCAATAGAATGGCCCCATTCTGCACATGGCCTGATCCTCCCAGACCGATATCACTCTACCCGTCATTGTGGAGTCTGAGTGGTGCGGAGGAGGACGAAGATGTTGTTTTGAAGCGGTCTTGGCCGGGAGCCACCACGTGACACCTGCTTTTCAGTCGGCTGTCAACGACTTCGTTTTCAGCACTTAATGGGCCCTGTGTATGTCTGAGGTGACAGTGCATTCGAGAAGCACTTTGGTTGTCAAGCTCAGTTCCGTTTAGAGATTCGAAAGTTCATTTTAAATGGGTGGCAACGGCCAGCCGGAACAAAACAATGTCACTAGCCCTTCCTTGAGCTCAAATTATTACCTTGAGCGGAGGCGCAACCGGAAGGCTTCTTCGACCTCGTGGCGGGCCCTGGCTGCCATGTCTTCAGAAGGCGCGGAAGTAGTGCGGGCAATTGACACTGGTTCGATCCAGACTCCTATAAAGCGGGAAGGTTTTGATGAAGGACAGAAAGTACGGTACCTGGCAAAACTGGCTCGGACCTGGCAGTCGGTTGCGTGTGGACGGCGCGACGGTTGAGCCTGGAAATCAGAAGTAGATGAAGGAAACTTCAGAGCCTAAGCCTTGTCCTAACCCTAAACCCTACCTCATTCTAAGCATAATCCTAAGCCTAAGCCTATGCCTCCAGATTACTCACCGGTTCCCATCATTCACAATCTTCATCATCTCATCCAGGAATTCGGGGCGGAAGTTGGTACGCCTAGGACGGGCCATCTTCTCACAATATTCGGAGAATGCGAAGTGGCGGCTGAAATCGAAAAATGTGGATGCCAAGTGGTGGTGCGAGGCGGGCGGAGATCATGGGCGGTGTCGCCCGCCCGTAAAGCCAAGGAAAACAAAAAGGACATCAATGTGCGGAGGTGTATCTCGGAAAGGTAGATGGGGAGGGGGTAAGAAGGAGGAAGCGATGGAGGTCGATTAAATGTTTCCAAAGTGAGTCACCCGTGGACCAATCTAGCTTCCCGAGGAATGCGTTCCGAATCAATGAGCTTTTCTTTGGGGGATCAAATGTTTGTGGCGGGTTTAAGCGGGAATTGAACTGGATGTGGTTTATAGGTTAAGCGTCGTAAATGTGGTGTCAGGAATCGGGTGGTATGATCGTTCTGGCAGAGCTCCAAATTGGCAACAATGATTTTCCAGGTACGGAGGGGTACGAATGGGTGTGATGTGGGGCCAAAGACCTCCTAATGATACCCATAAGTTGTGAGGAGTACGGTAGCTCGTAAGTATGGTTAGTCGTTTGGGGGAATGGTAATGGGACTCCGGGACAAAGAGGCGGTCAGAAGTCACGTTTTTAACGGTGAAGTTGCGAGAGTAGGAGAGAGCAAGTGAGAGAGAGAGAGGGAGAGAGTGAGAGAGTGAGAGTTAGAGTGATAGTCATAGCGGGGGAGAGTGGGAGAGAACGAGAGAAAACATATCCTTAAACCATGAGTTACGGCAGTACACGGTATCTAACCAAACCGATATGAAGCAGATACCTTGACAACCCCAGAACACCCCGCTTGCCGAAATGGCCCGCCCAGGCCAGGCAGCGATCAAATCTGTCGTCGACATGGGCAGTGGGGAGGAGGGCACACTAGTGGGGGAGAAGCATATTGCCCCATGAATCATAATCGGTTGTGTGCACCGTGCAGGGTCTGCACCAATGCTCAGAAGTTACCCCTGGATAAAATATTCCAAATTGAGATTCAGGCAGGCACGTGGGGCCTTTTGGGATCGACGCTTGGCCGATGGCAGGGCTAACAGTGGGTTTTTTGCGAAGATCGATGCAGTAGAGCGGAGAGTATTGGGAGGAGGTCCTGGGACAGCTTGTCGATTTTCGATGGCAAAAAATATGGCACAAGAATTGATGGTGACGTGAGGTGATGCAAGGTCTCGAAAACCGGATCAGGATGATTGGCTTCGTGGCACACTACCTATAAAAGCTATCTGAGGGTACTGTAGGTCTGTTTTGATGGATTTCCGAATCTAGTAAATCTCCTAAAGGCGTAAGAAGAGTAGGAAATTAAACCAGTGGTATGATCAGGCTAGAACAAAGTCGGAAAAATCGATCTCAGCATCATCAGATGAAGAAACGTCGCCATATTGTTCTCGCGACAGTTTTGGGGCTGTAGGTATGTAAGAAGCTGACTTTAGTGCTTAGACTTCGGCTTATGCTTGAATTTAGGCTTGGGTTAGGCTTAAGTTTAACTTGGTTTGAAGCTTAGGTTTAGGTTTAGGCGTAGGCTTAGGCTTACGATTAGGCCTAGGCTTATACCGCCTAATGCAAATGAAAACCATCGTCAAGACCCCAGAACCCCCCAAAAACATTGGACCGATTATGCGTTTGGGGCAATATCGCGGGCCCCGATCACATGTTGCATCAGATGATCGGGGCAGCCCGGGTTGAATATTCAGCCCGAGACGCCCGATCACGATGCCGATTTCGCAATGCGGATCGCGAGAATGTAGTTATTCAGACTAGCACGAGGATGAGAATGAGACAAACAACTGTCGGCTGATCATCAGATAGATGACTCACGGGGGGTTCTCAGAATATTAAATTTTGGGTGTGAGACCACATGGTTGGATCTTGATATTAAACTGTGAGAATGGTGCCGAAATTTTTGGCTGTCACCGCCCTTTAAAATAGGGGTTAGCGCATGCCTAATCTTAGGCTTGGGATTCAGCTTAGGCTTAGGCTTAGGCATACTTCAGTAAAACGTTTGACAACTACGACTTATTCTTCCCTTACGTGTTAATAAAAATATACCTGTCCCCACTTTCCAGCTTCCTGACTTGCCAAAACACCACTTAAAAAAACTTCAAGGAACTCAAAGGCAAGCTGAAATGTAGCGTTGGGCACGTTTTTCTACTTACGTTACTTTTTCGTGCTTTACGCTACGTTACCGTACACAACAATGTAAAGTACCGCCGCCCCCTTAATTTTCCAACTACACCTATATACCTACATCTTTACGTGAAATTAGAAACCTTGGGGGCTTGGAAAATTCTTAAAAAAATACAGAATATGAATCTATAAATCCTACCAAGAGCCGGATCCGGGCTCCGCCCACCGATTTTTATGCTGTGTTCTATTTTGCGCTCCTCCCCCCCGGCCGGTGGGCTGGGGGAGGAGGATGGTCGGTCCCCACGCACTTTCCGCCAAATACCAGAAGAAGAAGCCGGGGGGCGGATGAGCAACTGCCCCCCGTTGCCTTTATGTGATGCCATTTCCGTTCCCTAGAATAGAATGGCCATGATAGGGGGCCTTTTTGCTGTACTTCCGATTGGGATGTGTTTTAGGATTGATAATCTTCGAAATCTGATTCTTCGATCATTCTTGATTTTAATATCTGCCAAGGCCTAAGCGGAAGGTCAAGCCCAGAACCTAGGCCTAAATAAAGATAAACCCAATAACTTGAGCACCTGCCAAGTTAAACCAAGGCTTCCTTAAATAATTTCTTAGAGCTCTTGCGGTTGTTCCTATCTCGCTCTCTCTCGCTCTCCATTCGCGAATTCAAAAAGTCAACGTCATGACTCATTCAATTAGCGCTTTGTTTTATTCGATAAGGGGTAGATTTGACTTTTTGGTCGCGCCGAACTCATTACTGTGCTTTTTGAAAAATTAGATTGGTTATTGGTTCGGCAGACACAGCATAAGCTTTTGATTAAATAACGCTTTGAAAGCTAAAATCTGGCTCTTACGGCTTACATAAGCTTTTTCAGCGTCCCGTCTAAATGTGTTAAAGTACTATATGCTATGTGCTGCTTATGTTCTACTTGTTTTCATTACCCCGTGAATATGCGGGCCGCAGGTGGCGACCCCGGAACTAGATTAAGAGAATTTGTTGTCCCTTCCACCCCCGCCACGCACAGTGCTCTTAAAAAGCTGGCAAAGGGTCAATATTTCCGGGGGTGCCAGACTTTTCGATGTTCTTTGTTTTCGCGCGTGTCTGAGTCATGTAACTGGTACTAAAGTAATCGAAAAAATATGTTAAGTGAGGCCGCCCTTTATAAGTTATGATATGCAGCTTTTTAAAGAAAAAAATTTAGAATTCGTCAAGCCCGCGTGTACTTTCAAAACGACCCCATTTCATGGTCTCAAGATCCCCCTTGCACCGCATGCTCACCGCCCATACCGCTGCTCGCAGATGATGATCCCCCAAAAACAATAAAAAAATGCACCCTTGCAACACTTCCACCCGCAAAACCGGTTACGATGGAGGCGATTGGGTGTTGGGCCGATGTTCCCGGATCCATATTTCGTTTCGTCTACATAACTGCCGGGGATCCATATCCACCCCGATCAAGGCCATTCATCTTTTCCCCGGGTTACGCATCCTACCCCGACTATATGAGTCAAGATCCAGCCACCCAAATGGCCAGGTCGGCAAGGAAATTCGATTTTGAGAACGTTAAGTTGATTTTTTGTCTTATTGTTATGGCTTTGACCACTCGAAATACCTCTAAGATCGCAGTTTTCTGAAGCCCAAACCTTAGCGATTCCTATGCCTAAGACTAAGCCTAAGCCTAAAGCTAAGTCTCGTCTATTTCGGAGCTTAAGCCGTAGCCCTAAGCCCAAGCCTAACCTGAAGCATGGGCCTGAGCCAAAGCCTTAACCTAAGCCTAAGCCTAACAAGCCCAAACCTAGGCCCAAGTTCTTTGTAAAAGGCTGATAACCATCAAAAACAACCTCCAAATTTTGCTTAAAAATATGCCCTTTTCGCAACGTTACAAAATATTATCCCACATGTTTTCCAAAAAGGACGCATAGCATTGTCCACATTTTCTCACTATTATTTCGAGACTCCTGAATGCTAATAAGGGGTCTGTTGCACGGCAAATTCTGCCCCGCCGCAAATACAATTTCCGCGAATTCCGCCTAAGCGCGGTGATTGCAAAATTTTGCGGCGCTAAATTTTGCCTTAATTTTTGTGGCAGCTTGGGAAAGTCGGGTAGGGTTGCCGGCCGGTTTCCTGGCAGTCGCTTTGCACGGGTCCAGGAATTTTTGATCGGGTTCCAAAAATAGCCCAGAATTTTAGGGCCACGAATTCTCTGCATTCCTGCGCTCGCCCGCTAGGTCTTAAAAGGATTAAGAAGTCACATCTTCTCGGCTCTGTTTTCGGGACCCTAGATTTTGACATTTGTTTTGCCGAAGAGATCTTCCATTTCGTCTTACAGCCGGCAACTTCTACTATCAAAATTAAATTGTGTAGATTTCGGTAGCTTTGTCTTCATCTTCTGACATTTTGTTTCATTTTAAAACGTATTCTAGCAAAATTTAAATTCAGAATTTTCGGCAATCTCAAAATAGAATTTGGAATGCTCATGCCTTTTTGTTGTCCTCCATTAATAAGTGCAAAAAATTCTATTTTTATCGGGCCTCATCAGGCACCAACTATTTTTAGAACCGAGTCCACTGGAGGAGGAGGAGAACAGAATGAGCTTCTGGCTGTGGAAGCTTTTAAGGTGGAAGGAGGAGCGGGCGTCGCGGTTTACAGCTCGTGGTGAGTGTTATTAGTAGTCTGATGGAGGGTTGTCTGGGGGAAGAATGGGCTGCGAATGGGATTTAGAATTGTGGAGGGAAACTTCTAAAAGCGTGGCTAGGGGATATTAACCCCAAACCGAATCCTGCCCGCCCACTCGCGACACATCTGGTCCACTAGTTTGGCGTATAGGCGCTAGACAAAGATGTTTTGGTCAAGCCAAGTCCAAGCCTAAGTCTAAGCCTAAGCCTAAGCCTAAGCCTAAGCCTAAGCCTAAGCCTAAGCCTAAGCCTAAGCCTAAGCCTAAGCCTAAGCCTAAGCCTAAGCCCAAGCCTAAGCCTAAGCCTAAGCCTAAGCCTAAGCCTAAGCCTAAGCCTAAGCCTAAGCCTAAGCCTAAGCCTAGCCCAAGCCTAAGCCTAAGCCTAAGCCTAAGCCTAAGCCTAGCCTAAGCCTAAGCCTAAGCCTAAGCCTAAGCCTAAGCCTAAGCCTAAGCCTAAGCCTAAGCCTAAGCCTAAGCCTAAGCCCAAGCCGAAGCCGAAGCCTAAGCCTAAGTTGCATCAAATTTGGAATGAAAATAACATCATGGAAGTGAAGAAACTGCTAAAATTCCAATAGCCCGATCGGTCAAGAGACAGCCCAAAAATTTGCCATGGCTTGCAACTCTTCGAACTCGGCACTTTATCAGCGGGGCGCCGATAAAAACTGTCAAAAAACGGTTCGCTAAATCATGGCAAACGCTTATCAAGATCGCACGGGCCACGGATCGAGCAGGCCATAGATTGAGCGGCCGGTTGGCAGCACTTTTGGGAGCTGTGATTCTGACTTAACCACAGAATATTGATGCCAAAATTAGCGAGAGACATTTAAAAGGAGAGAGAGAGAGAGAGAGAGATCAGCTCAGCATTAATGAAAAACACCAGCTTTCCTGCAACTGAAAGCTCTACTACGTGAGCATCCGAATGTCCTCGACACTCGGGAACATCCACGTGCCATCAAAATTTGGCCAATTGACGCCGGCCCCCTGCATCCTGACCATTAGGGCCCAAAAACTATTCCTCAAAAAACGTCCGGAAATTGGCAACTTGCAAGGGTTTGCAGCGACCCCGGTTGTGCTAACTTTACTACTAGCTTTTGGAGCTTTACTAGCTTGCTTGGCTCGACCACAAAAATTAGCTGTCTCTATAAAATTAATCAAAAGCTCAACATTAAATAAAATGGGTTTAGAAACAAGCTTTTGCAGATAAAGACAGCCGGAAGCTGAAAGATGACACGTCGAGATTTATCCCGACTACGCGTTACAACACGAAGAGGAGAGATAGGTGAGTAAGGGGATCGAATTTTTGAAATCATTAAACTTGAAGCGGACGCTCAGCTGTACAATTTTCCGCAAAACTCTTATCGGAGGTGTGCTCGAATTTTGGCGTTTTATCAGGGGGAACGGCTTGCGTCGGATTAGCTATGGGACGGGGGCAAAGGGATGTGAGGGAGGGGAATCTTTAAAAACGCGGGTCAAAAAGGTTGTTTTTAGCGGGAAGATGTTGTATGTAGTAGTCGTATAGTTAATGCTCTAGATTGGATTTTCGGAATTGGTTTATAACGCAAAAAAAATATGTAGAAAGTGCCATATAAATAAAAAGAGAGAGAGAGAGAGAGAGAGAGAGAGAGGAAGAGAAGAGAGGGAGATAGAGAGAGCCAGAGAAAGATAGCCAGAGAGCGAGAGAAAGACAGCGAGAGCGAAAGCGATAGAGAGCGAAAGAGAGACAGAGAGAGAGAGAGAGAGAGAGAGAGAGAGAGAGAGAGAAAGCGAAGTATACTATGCATTCATGGTAAGATTCCATTCAGATAGCACCCAGGCCACATCGAACCACAAACCAAAAATCAACCCCTTAGCTATCGTAGCAAACTCAACTAGTTTCCTAAAAGTAGCTAATCTCATACCTCAATTCGCATATCCCTGGTAAAAGAAAGAATTACTACCTGACTTGGCGGAAAGTGCAGAAAAACACCAGGCACTTGGAAAATACTTGGGAAGGCGGTACCTATTATCAGTCCCGATCTTGGCAAAGTTGTACTTTTTCTTAGCGAGTAGTGGAGCGTACGTCTATGGGAACATAGCGGAAATCGGAAGGAATAGTATTTAGGCTGCTGAGGCTTAGCAGGCTTCGATCAAGGCTGTAGGTTAGACTTAGACTTAGGCTTTAGCGTTAGAACCTCTAGAAACCATAACTCTGGAGAATATTAAACCTAGTGAATGAGAAACATTAGTGCCCCCTGGCTTCTGATCGTCGCCCAGCATAAACCAGAAAAATTAATCCGCGGCATATCGGAGGGCAGTGGAACCTCAAGTTTTACGGCTTCCGCTGACGGAATGTTGGTGGGGACAAGGTTTTTGGATAGATTAACAGGAGGTGGAAAGGCTTCATTGTGGGTAAAAACAGAGTGGTTGCAGTTGGGGTTTGATAGAATATTGAAGCCTGATTAGTCGTCGATGGAATTTTTGAGCAAGGAACGAATTGGCAGGGGTAAAGAGGCTTGAATGATAGTAAAATCGTGAAAAGTGGAATTTCATAGTTTAAAGAGTCAGCAGATGTTTTGAAAACGTTACTCTATGTACTGCGTTTGTCGTTACGTAATATGGCTTGAAAATATTGAAAAGTTGTTATGCATATTAAAATGCATTTAGAAAAAGGAGGCCCAAAATCTATGATTAAACAACTGGTGTTTTAGCTGCTTAAAATGAGAGAACAAAAACTTAATCGTGATTTTGTGGCCATGTGTCAAGTCAGACAGGCCGATTCCTACCTTTTTCGACGCTCTAAAAAAAACCTAAAATTGGCAAAGACCTCACTAAAATAAACCAAAGCTAGCTAGATAACTAGGTAAACTTATATAAGACCTTTTAATGAAATTCGTATAACTTTGAAAACATGAAAAAGCCAAGTTATTCAAAATAAAACCCAGGATGCATGAGACGAATTGAACAAATGGAATAAGAGAGCCATTTTATGGCCCTCCTGTTCAAAGAAATGTTTTGTCCACATCGAGGACCACCAATTTCTATTACTCCTTCTCCCCTCCTCCATTCGAACGACTAGTCCGCCCCCGCAGTTTGTGTAGTAGGTTGCCAGGCGTCGCCCCAGCCTCACGAAATTTGGGGGGGGGGGGCAATTGGGCTACTGGAATTTTTTATGCCAAATGCATTTTTTGTGGTTTGTGCTGGGTGACACTATGCACAATTTTTTTATGTTTTAAAGGAACTATGAAGGTAGAGCTCAGCAATTTGCATGATTTGTAGCGCTTTTAAAAGTATGGGGAACCCAGAGAACCGCTAGAAAAAACACAGTTACATTCTTAATTTGCATATTTCAGCCCAGCAATAACTACACTATGGTCTTCATACCGATTACAAGTCCTGAGAAATAACCACCGCACAAGAGCCCGTCCCTTCAGGCCGAGACTGGACAGGTCTGTGAATTTATCAATATGCACATTGGCAAAAAACCGTATGATTTTTTTGCAGTCCATGATTCATTTATCATTTTTACTAATATGCTAATTAGCAAAATAGCAAAATTTCTAAAGATTTTTAATTCTATTTTTAACGGTTAAAATTAGGAATATGCAAATTAGCAAAAATAGAGCGAAGCTTTGATAATGTCATATACCTTTATTCATTTTTTCCCATACAAATAGAAAATAGCATACCGGTTTTCTTGAATAAGCTTTGATCAGCGTCAAATGTTTTTTAATTGGGATTTTTTGGTAACAAAGTGAGTTACCATATGCAAATTAGCAAAGACAATTACTGCGCGTTTGCGAGCTTGCAACTAATAATTTTAATGACAAATTTAATAATTATTATTCATCCAGATATGCCTCATTTAAAATTTCTAATTTTTCAGCATCACCGAACTGGACGAAGAGCACGCGGCTTGTTGCTGAAATGAGTCATCGTGACGCATTGAATAATTTATATTGTATGTACCCATTTTCTTGCCTTGTCATTCAGGACTTTTTGTCCATTGTATATAGCCCTACATCAGAATTGCCATGACTAAAATTTCTTATATTTTTTCAAACTCCGGTGTTGAGATCTGTGTTCCTTTTTCGTCATTGCCTGGGATAAACGCGTGCACTTCATACGAGCACGATAATATTGGGTTATTTATATATGTGTTGTGAATTTTGTGGATAAAAAAAATTTTGCGTTGAATGGGCACGACAAACAAGCACGTATTATAATGTTTTAAGGCTTGATTTAAACTTGCAAAAACAACCGGAAAGTCAATTTCAGAGTTTTATTGCGGTCTTCATTAAGCGTAAACATTTGTTTGCATAGTTTGCGATGAAATAAACTTTTTATCGAATGGTAAGGAGCTCTAATCTATTCTACACATGGAAACTTTTTTCTGGGTTTGATTCGGATTGACCGAGATCTCCGTAAAACTCGGCCATCAGAACGATACTATCAAAATTTGCAGAGTTTTCGATCGATAAACGAAACTGGTGCTATGGAATTTGCATAAATATTAATTTGTGTTTAAATAAAACGTTTGTAATACTGTAAATAAATTGCAGTTTGTGAAAAATCCCTTTCTCGAAAATTTAATTGGAGTATGAAAATAAAAAAGCATGCCACCGTTTTATCGCATTTAAAATAACGTCGTTAATTTTAGAATTTCATGAAACATCGTGTTTTAGGCATGTTTCGCACAAATAGATCACTCAATCGACATACAAGTGCTATTTTCCTTACCCTCTAATAAAATCCATCAAGCGAATTCACCGAATTAAACAAACGAAACGAACAAAATTAACATTAAACGAAAGATAGTCTTTTACAGTTCAACCCCTCGCGAAGAGGTTCCTTTCCCTAGATCAACAACACCCCCGGCGCACAATCAGCCCCAAGGAAATTTCTGATCAAACTTCGCCGTGCGAGACCGAGACATGGCTGGGCGAGACGAAAACAAACAGCTGCCCGTCTCTTCGTGGCTTTGCTTTTCTCTAAATGGAAGCCTATGGGTGCACTTGGCATGTGCAAGTTGCTATGCTTTTGCCGCTCGTATGCGAGCGAGTGCACGTGAAGGGAGCGTGCTCTTGCTTTGCGCCGCCTCTTCGCCGGCTGTTTGTGGCCCTAGGGCTCGGACGGGGGAACACCACAACTTACGAGGTTACGTAATACACAATTCGCAGGGCCTTGGAAACACTTCTTTCATGGAGGTGTTTTCCTTATTTTTTTTATGTAACTTATCGGTCGATTATTCATTTTTTTAGCATAGATTCACCCTACCATTTTGGAACTTCTGTTTTGGCCCTATTTTGTCCTCACTAAAAAACTTAAAAATCGCCGACGCTATTTTTGAAAAATCTGAAGGACGTGAAAAATGCGCCTTTTCAACCTCTACAAGAGTGTTCGAAATTAAAAAAAGTTATATATTTTCTTCATTCTTTTCATCACGTAAATGGAAAGTCAAGATTGAGCTGCCTGAAAAGCATCAGAAGTTGCATTAAAAATGTCACGTCGCTTTTTATCACTTTGTCGCTAATTTACTCTTTACGAATGATGAAAAATTTTTCAAATAATACAAATTCTTCATACAGTATAAGTTTTCTTGAGCGTTTTTCCATCAACAGATTTGCTTAAGCTTAGGCTCCGCTTGTGTCTAGCAAAAACAATAATTTGAGACTTGTCGTGATGACGTACTGAGCTTCACAAAGGACAACCTTTCATTACAGACTAAAATCGCGGATTCAAACAGATTTTTAAGCGCATTTCGTTGATAAACGAAATCCGAACGAAATATAACTTTCTGCGTATATTTAGCCTTACAAAGTTGTTCACTAAACTTTAAAACCCAGCAATGAACCTCTTTTTAAGGTACCAAAAAGTTATTTTTAACCAGCGCTGACCCCCCGCTACGCCGGGGCTAAGCGCTGGCCTTCTCCCACCCCCACGATTTGAATTTGTAATTTGAATGCAAAATTTGGCTGATTTCCCGGTCGGTCGGACGGGCAGACGGACATTAGAAATTTATATATAGTAGATAGATAGCTTCGTTGTTGAATAGATTCGCCTCATTTCGAAGCCATATTTTTGGTTCCCTTGATTCTTCGATGTTGCGCTGATCACATCTTTTGCGTTGATCTCTGTCTCCCTTCTTCTTCTGTTGGCTTTTCCTCAAGCTATCCATTACACACACCCATCAAAAGCCGTTAACCAGTTGTTTCGACAGCTCGATCCGCCGGCCCTTTTTCCATCCATCCATCCAGCCGTTCAATAAAAATCGTTCAATGGGTTTTCTCTCCGTAGTAATGTCTCGCCTCGGGCTTTCCCTTGTCTCTCAACCTTCAGTGCTGTCTCGTTTTGTTGTGGCCGGTGGGAGCAATCCTTGAAAAGCGCCATTTTTTGCCAGCAGCCGCCCAGGGGCTCCCCCACCGGCTGATGTGAGCTGCTCTTTCTTTGCAGGTTTCATCTTTGTCTGATAAAGCAAGGAGTATCAAAGGTTTTTTCATGGATTTTTACAGGATTTAGACGCTATATTCCAATTTTCAAGCCTGAAAGTGGCTGGAACGGGTCTCAAAAACATATTTTTGAATTTTTTATATATGGGAAAAACTTGATAGCTTTATTTTTGAAGCATTTCTGAATAAAAAAAGTGAAAAATTGGCTTCCGCGTCATTTTTCGTTCTATTCTGCTTTACAAAATTCTTCGTTTTTCTTGGGCTTCTCGATTGAACGCATCTGATTTTTTGTCTTTTTCCCGAAACCCGAGGTTTCGAAAACAGTATACTAAATTTAATGGAAACCTAACTTCCGGTCAAGCAAAATTTATTTGAGCCTTTTAATTGCTTAAAGTCGAGGTATCTGCTTTTCTCCCTTCGATTTTTTTGATTGAAACAAAGGGACCGCCGGGAGACTTTTTGCAGGAAATAGCATCGGCGCTTCGAGAATGTTCCGCGGCCCTAGCAGGCAGACGTCGCGGTCTTCTGCCGGGCTAGATAAACACCGCCCCAGTTCGGCGCTTTTCATATTTCTACGTAAACCCTCGATTTGCATTTTTTATATGTAGAGTCCGTAAAATTTAATTTGGGCCTGCAAACTACAACCTAGGCAAGCCTAAGCCTATGTCAAACCTAAGCCACACCTAAACCAAGGCTTGGTCGAAGCCTAAGCCTAAGCCTAAACCCACGCCTATGCCTAAGCCCAAGTATAGCCTAAGACTAAGCGAAGCCGAAGCTTTAGCCTAAGCTAACTAGTAAGCCTCAGCCTCAGGCTAACCTAGGCCTAAGCCTAAGTATCTGCCTAAGCCTAAACCTATACTCTATGCCCAAGCAAAAACTAAGCCATTCTACCACCCCAAGAATAATATTTTGTTCCTAGAAGTCGTTAACAACCGCCGTGTTGGCCGGTCCTTTTTTCGATAAGCCCTATCCATGTCTATCCACTTTGTTGAGAGAAATTCGGGGGTAAACTTTCCGGGGGGGCTGATAGGCGGTGAAGAAAACAAGTCGCAATGAAGAAGGATGGGCTTTGGCTAGAACGGGTAACCCCCCGCAAAAACGCTTTGGGCCGAAAACAAGTTTTGGGTGCATGGAGGTGGCTATAATCTTTGCACCCAAAAGTTCGGTTTTCTGGCGATGGTCATAAAAATTTACCCCAGTTTTCAGTAATTTTTAAACTTAATTTAAGTCCTTAGGGGAATTTTTCTGTATTTTTTAGAGAGTTGGATGCGTTTCTTCATCGGAAACATAAGCTGAAATATGCCCGAATTTTAATAATAATCTCATTCACACGATTTAGGGGTATTACGGCGTTAAAGACTGTGACAAAAATGTTAAATGTGATTTTAAACCTGGAAAAGATATGCAAATTTGAAAACTAAATTTTGTTGCACCGTGTCGAAAATTTTAAGGGTATTAGAAAAGCTACATCTTGCTTCTTGCTGTTAAACTTACTACTTACTTATTACTTTTCATTAGCAAAAGTTTTATCGTTATTTTTCATCTAAAACTAGATTGCTACTCCTGCTCCGGTTATTTGCACGTTGCCAGCCGCCGAAAACAAATTTTCCCGTTCAAGCCGGCCACTTTGAGGCATTCCCGCTTCCCAAAAAAGTCCCTTTTGGTGTCGAATTATGATCGTGTCGAGCCCTATCTGGCCGATCCAACCAATTTCAACGACGAAGATTAATGGGAGACCCTCCATCATTGCTTCCCTATCCCCCGCCGTAGCCACAACATTTTTTGAAGAAGTGGATAACGAAACATCACTTGCTCATGACTTTTCTCAAAAAATATTACCATTCGCCGTCCGTTCGTGTTCCCTAATTCATTTCGTAAAATCTCTACGCGCCCCTGAGTAAACCAAAAATCGGTGACGCTGGCCCGCAGAAAACAATCGAAATACGTTGTTAGGGGGTGCCACGTGAAATTCACCTTTTCGCTACTGTTGGGCCAATAAAGTTAAAGTTTAAAGTATCTTTCAAATAAAAAAATTGAAATATAATGCATAAGGTTAATGCATTTTTCAAACCGTTTCAAATTAGAATTTGAATTTGAATTTTCAAACCAAAAATTTTTTGTCAAGGTCGTGCTCCAGGATTTTTGCAATGCGAAAACGCATTTGTAAACAGGTTTTGAGTCTGAATTTGAGCGCATGAAAAAATATTAAGAGCAATTCCCCATTTTTGCTTTGCATAATAATCTCCAATTTATTTTCGCTGAAGCTAATTTAATTCTACCTTTTTGTATATAGTCGAATTTTGTAAAAAGTGCTCTAACAAAAATAGGCTTGATGTTTTCTTGATTGAATATAGAAAAACGTACACAATTAACATATTCCTTATATCCCGGAACTTTAACAAAGTATAAATATATCGTAAAACCGCAAAAAAATCATGAAATTTGCTTGTTTTCATGTGCATCTCATATAAGTATATATTTTTTCCCGCTTGTGATTTTTGCAAAACTGGATTTTTCCCTCATGGGCAGAGAATTTCATCTACCATTCGATGCCCTACGTGCATGTTTTTAGCCTAAACTCTACCAAGTCTCGTCTCGATGTTTTCTTGATCCAATGTACTTATCGTGGCCCGAAACCGATAATACCGGCGCAGCCGCGGTGAACGGTTGCCTTTTATTTTGCACTGATCCGGGAGTCGGCTTGCTTGCCCGGGCCCTGGTGCTGTTTGTGGGGCTGTTTTTGTCGGGGTGAGACTCACGCACACACACAGCAGATATCTCTGCTCCGGGGCCTGGCTCATTGCGGTGTTGACCGCTTTGCGAGAGGGGGATACTGCCCTTTCTCCTCTTTTTTTTCTTTCTCAACCCCCCGAGGCTTATGTTTTTTGCCCCCAGATACCCGGGATTTCACGATAACTGGTTATCCTCTTAAGAAAATTTCCTTAGCACTTTGAACCTCGAATTAACGCTGCTTCTGACATCAGACATTGCCGGATATGCCTTATGGGTTGACCGCCTAAGCCTAAACCTAAGCCTAAGCAGAAGCCTAAGCCAAAGCCTAGGTCTAAGCCAAGGCCCACGCATAGTGCATTATCTACCCGTAATCGTACCTGGTTATCAAGGACAACTTTTGGGGCTGAGGTTTGCGTGCTATTAATGCACAGTTTTCACCTTATATTGGTGTGGTAAAATTATCGTATGTCTAAACGACAACGTCATACAGGCAGTCTCACATCGATACCTTTCAAATTGTGAGACAACAAACTGTTCGTCTTAACAAGCAGCTTCAGCAACATTGAATGAGGTTTAATGACTGTAGGACATCTTGTGTGTTGTTATATATTTATCTGCCTAAAGTGTGTTCAACCCGATTTTCCGAATTTTACGACACTATCTGCTCAACATTCCTAATCAATCGGTGTCCATATTAGCCCGGTACCCCTGCACTAAAGACCCCCGGGCAATCATAGATTGAGTGCATAGTGCTTCCTTGACCTAGGTGCAAATGAAACTTCTGGTTTTTCTATATCTGATTTCCACTTTCATTTTGTTTTCTATTACATCACCTTATACATATACCGTCACCTATCTCTGTAATGTTTCATAAAATAATTCCAGAAAACTGTCGTCGACACGCCAAACCATCAGACAACAAACAGTCACAGGATGGTTGAGGAGCGTCCCGAGATTATAGTGCCCGTCAGACCCTTCCAGGGCAAGGCTTCGGCCGATCCAACCGGAAAATGTGTCGAGGTAGTGAATTAACAAGTTATAACACCTAGGGTTGCGAGAAAACTAGATTCTATATTTACAAATTCTTTTTAAAGATCCTGATCGCGGTCATGCAACGCCTAGGGCGGAAGGATGTGGTGCTAGAGGAACCTAACGACTCCCCCAAATTCATCGAAAAATTCTGCAACGACGCGGTGGCTCTGTGGAAGCAAAGGGGCAAGGATTCGGAGATTGCTTTTAAGGTATTACAATCAGCTGATAACTAATGTACACTATTTTAATTTATAAATCCTATAATTAATAACTGTTTTCAGGGGGTTCTGGCCATCTTGGAGCTCTGCTTGTCACAGTGGTCACATCAATCTGCAATTTTCGAGTCTCTAATCAATGCGCTCGGATTTCGTTCAGTGGCGTTTTGGAGGGTGGCGATGCCGGTGGTAAGTAAAAGAGAGAGAGAGAGATAGAGAGAGAGAGAGAGAGAGGGAGAGAGAGAGACAGTGAGCGAGACAGAGAGAGAGAGAAAGTGTGTAGAATATACCTAAATTGCCTTTCCAGATCTACGACTCGGATTTGACTTTTGGTACGCAGTATCGTGACGCACTACTGTTCAGCTTGGCCCTGTATGATGTCAACAACAGCAAGAATAAAATGCGGTAAGCTGAAGCGTACCTTAACTGAACCTATAAATATAGTGAACTCTACGCCGCCGTACCTGGAGTCCGTCAAAGTATGCTCGGTGTGCATGCGAAACGGTTTGGCGAAAAGTACAACCATATGCAGGTGGGTAGCGTTTTAAAGATCTTTAAAAAGTCTCTAAAAAATCTAAAAACTTTAAACGTTTCCACGGGGTATTTAAAAATTCTCAAAAACTTGACTTTTCAGATAACACGAAGCCGGACCAACTCCAGGGTGAACTCCACACACGGGTCGGCGGAAGACTTGACGCTCCTCGACTCCCCGGAGAAGCCGAGGGACAGATTGGACAGCCTTTCAAAACCAACAAGAGATAGATGTGATAGTCTCACCAAAACCCGGGATAGATGCGATAGTTTTTCGAAACTGGACGAGGCTCTGAATCAAGCGTTCGTGGAAGTACCATCGACAAAGGTTCGTTACGATTTCTCTCTCTCTCCCACTCTCTCCCTCTCTCATCTCGCTACTAGATGAAGTACCTGTAAATTGTAGCAACGCGTCATCAACGTCTCGAACGCGCCTCCCGTTTCCGTGACTCGACGTGGCAGCGGTATCTGGGAGATTAAGCAGGGATCCGGAGGTCTGGTAGCCTGTGTCGATCCGGTGATGTCGGTCGACAAGGAGAACATCTGGCTCGCCAATCTTGGAATCAACCCGCAGGGCGATGATACTTATGATGAGGTAATTATTCGAGTTAAGCTTACAAGCATGAGCCTAACCTAAGCGTAAGCCCAAGCCTAAGCCTGAGCCTATAGCCAAGACTAAGTCCAAGCCTAAGCCCAGGCCTAAGCCTAAACCTAAGCCTAAGCCTAAGCTTTAGCCTTAATTTAGGAGCTTCCCCGAGGCACAAACTCCCTCGGTCTGCCGTTGATCAAGCAAGCACGAGCCGGTGAGATCTTCCACGTCCTGGAGGAGCATCAAAACAAGCCAGACGGCAGCCAGACCGAGATCGAGTGAGTGTCAATTCTTATTTCTAATAGCTAGAGCTCTGTGGCCCAAATTTTCGTTACTTTGCAGACGTGACATGTCACTCCTCTCCGTCCTCCACGACTACAACAAGACCAACTACCAGCTCAACCCAGTCTTTGTCAACCAGGACGACTATAACGCGTATTATGGCGGAATTTCCAATGGAATCCTATGGCCAGCGCTTCATAATCTGCCGCAATATATCGTCCAGGACTACGATGATCCTCAGGTAAGCGAAGCTAGGATTTAAGGGCAGTGACAACCTAGTAAACATCAAAACCCTGCTCTTTCTAGGTCCTTGACGAGCACTGGTGCTCCTATGTTCGCGTCAACTACCAGTTTGCCATTAATGCAGCCAGGAACAGTCGGCCGCAAGATTTTATCTGGATTCACGACTACCATCTGATGCTCGTTGGCCAAATGATGAGGTCGTTGGACTCGACCTTAGAGGTTGGTTATATCTACAGCGTTCAAAAATTGAGCTTCAGGTCGGCTTCTTCCTCCACATCCCCTTCCAACCCCCAGAAGACTTCATGACTAAGTACAAGACCGTTGGGATGCCAATTTTGAGGGCTATTTTGAGATTTAAGAAGGTGAGTTACAAAAATCTAGTTATTTAAAACTTCAAGTTTATCTAAATTTTTTACCAATCGCTAAATTTCTCAAACCTTATCCAATTTGTGTTTTTTGCAATTATAATAGCTTAGTATATTTAGAAGGAAATTATAATTTTTAGGTCGGCTTCCAAACCGATCGGGACCGCAGGAAATATATTGCCCTGGTCGAGCAATACATCCCAAGGGCCCGAATTCAGTACGAGGAGACTGTCGACATCTTTAATATAAATTACGAGGTATCTAAATTTAAAAATGTCACGTCTATAATGGTACTACTTTAGGCCAACTCCTCATGCTCCCTGGGAGTCTTTCCGGTGTCGATCAAAAATGAGGATTTCCTCAGCATTGCCACCAATGATCAGACCAAGATTTTGGCGATCGATATCCGGAAAGAGGTTGAGAATGAAAAGTTTCTTTAATGGCAATTTAGGTATTGGAAAACTCGAAAGAGGATGGACGCTTTTTCTTCTCGGTTGAAAGATTTGACTATACCAAAGGAATTCAAGAGAAATTGGCCGCTTGGAGGAGGTATTGAGGTATCGGGAATTTATTCTATCTGTTTTAGATATTTCGAAAAACACCCAGATCGTATTGGAAAGGATGTTCTGTACCAAGTTGCAGTTACGAATCGACGTACCGTCGATTCATATCGGTATGCTAGACACCAAATCTTCAAAATCAAGCCCGTTTAGAAAGTACCAAGACACCTGCTTGGAGATGGCCGACGCTATCAACAAGGATATTGTCTGCAAGGACAACGAGGACTGGAAGCCGATCATTTTCGATACGGATGGTAGGTTTCGCGGTGTCGCAATCTTTTTAAAACCCGCTTTACAACCTGGTAACCCTCGATTTTCAGGACTTCCAAGGGCTAAATTGATTGCGCATTACTTGGCGATGGATATTGGTGTTGTTACGCCCTCAAAAGATGGCATGAACCTCGTGGCCAAGGAGATGTTGATCTGCAACCCGGAGGCTGGGTTGATTTTGTCTTCAGGTAAGGGCAAGGGGAGCAAGGGGAATTAACCAGAGTGATAGCTTACTGACGAATTCCTAGAGCCTGGCTTTCGCTTGCTAAACGGTTCTGGTTCGTTAGCGGGGCGGTGGGTATGTAGGAGAAACTTTCAATAAATTAGTCAGTACGACTGGGAAGCCGCCCCCCCCCCTCCGCTATCGAACTCGAACCTTCTATACCTCCGGTTTCAGGCGCCGGAACCGACGTCCAGCTTGGCAACGCCGGTTTCTACACTGAAGAATCACGCTGCTACCACCGCATCAGCGACATCGCCAATGTCGAGGAGTTCGCCGAAGCGTTCTACGCGGCTGCGATGGAGGAGAAGGAAGACAAAGTCGCCAATGGATCCCGCCTCAGCAACTTCTTGAAATCCCACGACATCGACGAGTGGAGCACAGCCTTCTTGGACCCGTCGTGGACCCACGAGGTCATCAGATTGGTCCCTGTCACGCAGCTCTCCGACTTTTACGTGTTGATGGACAAGACGGCGCAAGTGAGGCGGCAGATTGTGGAGAGTGTCCTGAAGGGATTGCCGATAAGACAACATGCACAGATGTCGTTGGAAAATGCGAAGGTATACTCTCATCCTATAACAAATGAGTTATTTCTCAGAACTCGCTGGAAAACTCGTGCAAACCCGCCGGAACTACCCATCTGACCCTGCAGACCGATGCGGAAGACGGGGAAGTGCTTTCGATAAAATACGACATCCACGACGAGCTGTCGGAGCTGCATAAGGACTTGGCATTCCTGCAGTTTATCCAGAGCGACGATACTCATAATGTCGAAAGCTTTGTTGAGGTAAGAACAGCTTATTTTTTGCTTTATCTACTTGCAAAATTATCATTTTTGTATAATCAAACTTATTTTAGACGCTAAGTGGCTTCCACCCGGATGGTCCGGCCATATTCCACGAAGAAGTGGCGAGGGCGGTGGAGTTGTTGAATGAGGGTAAGGACATTTGAAGTCTCCTAAGCATAGCCTAACCCAAGCCCAAGCCTAAGCCGAAGCCTACGCCTCACAAGTCTGAATCTAGGCGACCACTTCCAACACTTCTTCACCGATCGCGACGGCACCCTGAAGAGCTACTCCTGTTCCTACCCCACATCCGTCCAACCCGCCTACTCGGCCGTCATCCAGGCCCAGTTTGCCCGGAAATGCGCCCAAGTGTGCGCGATCGTCACCACGAGTCCGTTGGTGCACATCGGAATCTTGAACATGCTGACGTTGCCTGAAGGTAATTTTTAGGTTTTTTGATTGTTTAAATTGCCCTACAAACTATGTAACAACATCTTAATTTCTTTCAGGCTACTACGCATATGGCGCATCGGCAGGTCGTGAATGGTACATTAACCCGGCGCTCCAGTTTAAGGACGACAGCCTCAGCGATGAGGACCTGAACTTGTTGAATTTGGCTTTTGAGAAAGTCGGTTTTGATTAAACTTTTAACTTAATCGTTACTCTTTCAGGTTGAAGACCTCCTCGCCAAACCCCAATTCCGGAATTTCACCTGGATCGGCTCTGGCCTTCAAAAGCATTATGGTCACATCACGATCGCCCGGCAAAACCAGGAGAAGAGCATGCATCGGGTTCTCGGGAATCTGCTGTAAGAAAGTAAAATAGAGGAAATAAGGATGATTTTCAGGTCTGCCGAGGTCCAAAAAATCGTCAAGGAGCTTGATCCGGATGGTAGCAGCCTGGTGTTGAAGGATGGCGAGTTCGAGATCAAGATTTATACCAGGACCTTTGATAGTGAGGTAAGAGTTTTACGTTCGATTCTTTCTCTATATCTATTTCTCTCTCTCTCTCTCTCTCTCTCTCTCTCGCTCTCTCGCTCTCCCAAAAACGCTTTTTTAGATGAACATCGATGGTAAAATCTTCAACAAGGGTCATGGCGTCCGGCTTCTAAAGAAAAAGCTGAACCTCAAAATGCAGATAGGTATGTAACGTCACTAGTGGTTTCTACTTTTTGAATTCTGTAACATCGGCGAATTCAGGAAACATTCTGGTCTGTGGCGACTCGGAGAACGACCTGCCAATGTTGGAGGAGTGCCTGGAAGAAGCGAAAGATCGGGTTTATACGCTTTGGGTCACGAGGAGCAAGCCATTAAAGGAGAAGGTAAGCGAAAACGATGCAAAAAGTACATTCATCTAGATGGAGCAATATAACCTGTTATCTGGTGTTTTCAGGTCAGCAAGCTGTGCGCACAGTACGGCAATTCGCACGTCGGCTTCGTTTCTTGCCCTGGGGTAAGCTAACTGGACGAACCCTAAGCCTAAGCCTAAGTTATTTCTAAGCCTAGACCCAAGCCTAAGCCGAAGCCGAAGCCTGAGCCTAAGCCTAAGTCTAAGAATAGGCCCATATCTAAGCCTAAGCCTAAACGGAAGCTAAGCCTGAGCGTGTCTTTTCGGTAAATTTTCTTTAATAACTTAAATTTTGTAGGTCCTGCTCGGCGCTATGGCCCAAGCGACCGTCCGTGTATTCAATATGCGTCCCATCAGTGGTGAAGAAGATACTGCCGCCTTCGAGGATGAGCTATAAATCCATCCTCAAATTTTCATTAGTGTGTGCAATTTTTACACCATGACTTGATGTCCTCCTTTTCCTTCATTTTTGGCTTTTGCATAATTTCTTACTTTTTCTTTGTCTTCCATTTCATTGCTCAGTCCCTCAAATACGATCTTACAGTAAGCTACAAGATATCCAATTCTAGCCTCCACGCACCCCAAGTGATACGGTTCAACTCTTCTGGTTTGCCTTGTCGTTCCTTTTCGGGAAAATTGCCATCTTGATGCCATGTAGTCAGTGCTGTTTTGTATTTGGCAATGCTTTAGAAGCATTCGTCATAATTATTTGAATAAATTTTATGAAAATGAATAGAGCTAAGGCTTTTAAACGGACAGTGACGGGCTACTGTAGTTGGCAAGAAAATCGATGAAAAGCTACCTAAATATTTAAAAGGGCGGCGACAGAGCACTTTGGGAAAATGGATTGTAAATAGGTTTTTCCGTAAAAGTGAAAATATAAGAGTAGGAGTGTAGCGTAACGTAGCGTAGCATAACGTTAAAGGTATCACTTCATCTCGTATTTTTCACTTTTCGTTGATTTAGATCAGATTTAAATGGGAAGCGAACGATGGACTTCGGAAAATAACGGATAAATCATAATAAAAATAAATTATTTAAAACGTAGAGTAAAGCAGAGAATTAGTGCGCAGAAAAGCGTAACGTTGCGTAGCGTAGCGCAACGTAGCGTAGTATACTGCTTGAGGTATCGCTTTTCCCGTATTTTTATTGATTTTTCGGTGATTTAGAGGCGAATTTAACGTTTGCAGCTAGCCATTTTACTATCACGGTCCCTTTAAACCCATAAGCTTCCCAACGGCGTCAAATTTGATCCCCCAGATTCAGCCGATTGCCGCCCACCAAATTGGCCTCATTTAGGTCCCCCCGCCGAGCGGAGAATATTTCGGGAACCTGGGGCCATTGACTGGGATTATGAGGGTAAGGGTAAGCCTTTTTTTGCACGAACCGGGAAGCGAAGCCATCCACCACGAAGACAATGCGTCCATCGGTCATTTGATTCGGGGCATCTGATGCTCCTGATAGAACAAATTTAGCAACGCCTGAACAAGCGTCGCTACAAATCCCCGGACTAGAGTTCGGGTGACGGATGTTATTTTTGGGGGGGTTGACGAGCGAGTGGAGGTATTTGAGGCAGCGTGACGATCCTGGTGAATAGCCCAGAATTCTAATAATCTGATGTTTGTTCTGCTGCTCAATACTATTGCCCTACAAATTATTCTCTGAAATCCTCGGAAACCTAAAATTTCTCGGCAGCAATCCTTTAAAGGGACATTGACAGTAATGCCGCGCGTAGGCCGCATATGTAAGCGTTGCGTAGCTCTACATATAGTTCAAAAAACACACACGTAAATGAAACACTTGATGCGAAGCGTGGAATCCGGTCATCTCGTATTGTCTTTAGCTCTTTTTTCTGACGATTTTCGTTGAATCTATTTATTTGTCTGCTTCTTATTCTCTTTCTATCTCTCGCGCCCACTTCATCTCTATTTATCCCTCTTTCTCCCGTGATTCCCTCGCCCTCGCTCTCACTCACTATCTTTCCCCCGCTCTCTCTCTGCCTCTTCTCGCGCTTTTAGCAACAGATTAGCTATCGTGAAAATCAAATTCCGTTTATGCAGAACAGCCCGCAAAAAATTTGGTTGCAACTGCAAAAGACCTAGTTCCGGAATTATTCCTGGCCGGAAATTTGTAGGGCTTCTTGTTTTCCCACCCCACTTTTTGCGTCCTGGGATACTGTAGTTCGGGCCGCCGGCGGGAACGTGCCAATCCGTGTCCCGGGCCATATTTGTTGCCTCTGCTCGTGCAGGGGCCCACGGCTAATATCCCCTGCAAATTAGTTTCTATACCCTGAAAGGGGAGTGGATTGTGCCCTGAACTCGACTTGAAGGACTATTCTTTCACACCTCTGTTTAAAAACAGTTTTGGAGGTTTTATTTAGTTTGTTTTTAAAAATATGGACTATTTTTTAAGGAGACGGCGGCTATTAAAGTAGAAGTGCTTACGTAAATAACCAGTCTTCTTAGCATTCGACGATCTCGGCAGCGAAAACCCCGACATCCACAACCCCGGGCAATCCGATGGTTTTCTGAAGACCTTTCAGGATGTTTGCTGTTCGGGATTTGATATGTTGAATTTTGAAGAACATGATTTTGGATGTCGGTATTTGTCGAGATTCCCTTTCATTGATCTAAAAAATTTGGTTTTATTTTTAGCGTAAATTTTATTTATTTTTAATTTGTTTTTTTCGACGCCGTTTTGATGTAAATTTCCTGGCATTTTTTCAGGATACTCTCAATAAAATAATAATTGTCTTCAAACATTCATGGTGTTTTAGCTAAGAGAATTCAGTAAATTTGAGTAGCAAAATTTTTTAAAATCTAGAATTTTGGCTCTTGAAAATAGTTTCATATTCCATTCCGATGGTTTCTGAAGATTTTTTCGACCGTGAATGGCCAAAAACGGTGCTACTGATTTTCGAAAATTTTTCCGATGATTTTCTGGAGCTTTAACGAGCCAAAGCAACGCATAGATAAATCGTACACCACATATACATTTCATAAATCTTTCCTGAACATCTCCAAGAATACGATAAACCTTCGGAACTTCCGACTCCATCGCGCCATCGGATTTCCCACTTGGCTAACGAAGGCGTTGGCTGGGGGGCAGTCGGAGTGCCGCCTTTCACACACTCGGATTTCGGCCAATCTCCCGAGAACAGCCCGGCCAAACGGCCACTTTACCCATCCAGTATTCACAAGTCATGGCTTCAGATTGCTTCAGATTCCCATGACAGAGTCTGACTCTTTCCTGTGGAAGATGATCATGTGCTACTCGTTTTCCTGTCACAAGGGGCGGCATAAGGGCTGGTTATTTATAGGGCCGCCAGTTTTTGTCTTACGGTAGTTGGGGCGCGAGGTAAACGCATAGGCATACGCTTATTAAAATTTACTATCAGTAAGTGGAACTTGATTTGGCAAGAATCATTTTGTTGAAATTTCGCCTTTTCGAAATTTCATCCCTTCGAAATATCATTTTGCCGAGGTTTTATGCCTCAAATATTAGAAAACCGACATTTTTGCACATTGAAATTGCGAAAATAAGTTGGGCAACATGGCATCCCGAAAAAATGAAAATTCATCCAAAATTGTTTTCGACAAAATGAAATTTCGAGGAAATTTTTTCGAGAAAACAGCATTGCGTCCAAACTGGGTTTTGACAAAGTTTTTCCACAAAATATTTTCAACAAAATTAAAATAACCCGATCATTAGCTACCCTTTGCTAATTATCAGCCGCGACTTTTATAGCCTTGCCCAGATCGGAAATTCGGAAAGATGCTTTTCACTCTGTTTCTATCCCGTCTTGATCTCTGTGTTACTCCAACAACTTGTCACCCCTTGTTTTTCTTTCAGATTAGAGCCGTTCGGAGTTCGGTCACTTTTCCCACGCCAAGAACCGGAACGTCCGAAAATATTTTCCAGTCCTACCTGGATTTCGGGCGGGATTTGTATAAGTGCCGGCTTTCCTTGGGGACCTATAAATTTGGGGTTTGACGATTAATGCTTGGTTCTGAACGCTAGCAACTATCTTCTCGCTGATCGCTTTGATGTATATTAGGCTTGGAGATAGGCTGCGGCTTAGGCTTCTTCTCCAACCGCTTACGACTTTGAAATCTAAGATTTTGGCGCCTCGTCAAAATTGAAGCTTACAGTAGGCTCCCTAGGCTACGCTACGCTCCAATGCAGGCAGTGCGTAGATAGGCATAAAGCTGCGATTATTACTCATGAGCAAACCACCGTTGAAAACACTACGCTGGGCTCCAACTGACGCAGTGTTCCAACGTGCATAAATATCGGTACTCAACGGGCTTCGTCCATAAATGCGCTCTACGCTATGATAGCTACGCAATGCTTCAGTTTACGCGGCCTTTAATTACGTAATAGGCTACGAACGCTACGCAAAATCCCTATTGAACCATAATTGCTACGTTACGCTCCAATGGACGCAGCTTTTCAACGCGGATGCATTGGGAAATTCAAAGATTTGCATCCTTTTCCGAATTTCCGAATTTTCCAACCTAGCTTTCCCGATTACGTAAAACCACGCACGCATCCCAGACGTCGACCGTATCGCTCTTTTCTACGTAGCTCCCTGAATACACAAAGCTTCACCTCGATCAACAGCTAACCCCGCAAGAGCCGACTTGTTTTTCCGCATCCCCAAGACGCTTCGATGAAAAAGTAATGAAGCCAATCTGGCCCTCAAGGGGGTGGGGGGATGGCAAAAAGAAGTGCACCACTGACAATCTTGCTTCCTTTTTTAGATGGGCAGCTACGGTGGGCCTCCATTCAGAAGGTCCTTATAGTTGGGTGCAGCTTAAAAATAGGGAAGAAAAATAGGGGAAATTGGGCTGCTGCTGGAAAACAAAAAACATGTCTGGGGAATGCTTGGGGTGATTGTTTTGTTAAATCTGGGGCCTTTGGGGTCTTTAGGTAGATGCGTGGGAGTTTAGGCTTTCCAAAATCCACAGCCTAAGGTAACGACCCGGGGGTAGCCGCAAGCGTTTTACGAAATTCCGCCATGTCCGCGTGAGGTTCCCTTGTAAGCCTAAGCCTAAGCATCGACCTGAGCCTAAGCCCAAGCCCAAGCCTAAGCCTAAGCCTAAACCTAAATCTAAGCCGGGCATCGGCCTGAACCTAAGCTCCCACCTCATCCTAAGCCAATAAGGAAGCCGTAGCCTAAGCCTAAGCCTAACCCAACACATTTACTACAACCCTGGATGACTCACTTCGAGATTGTCTTCTCGTGCTTTGCACCCAAATCCACCTCAAGATTTTCTGGAGCGACAAACACAAGAAAACTTCTTGTCCCGCATCCTCCTGTGCTCCTCGCCGACGACCACGCCGGAATTCATTAACAGCGTCCTCCTGTCTTGTGCTGAAAGCCCCTGGCCT